CAGCAGCAGGAGACATCCGCTGATAGCATTATGCCTGTAGTTAGTGGCTCGACACATCTCTCTGTACAGGAAAGCCAAAACTGTCGAGCCCAACTGAGTGATCTGGCCAGATGAAAGTCGCCAAGGTGTCGCAACCACATGCAGTGAACTTGGTTGCGCGATTTGTCTGGCATCAACAACCCTCATATCAGCTGCAGTATGCATGCCCGTGCATACATTTTAACTTCATCCTCAGACGCGTCCTCGCTCAAATCACGAAAATTGGCATCTAACCAATTTAACAGTATTCGACCACCGTTAAAATTTTCCGGGACACGTCCTAGATTATCCCGACACAAAGCAGTCCAGGAACCCTGCGTGATCCCCGATATCACATTTCCATCCACCAGAAGCCCCAGGTGCATAGAAATATCCTTAAGTGTAGTCGTGCACTCTCCGCACGGAAGATAGAATGAGTGGGTCTCCAGCCTCCACCGTTCTACTAAGGCAGAAATCAGGTCTGACTCTATCTTACAGTGACCCTGATATCTACCCATGTAACCGAATCCAGAATCTACTAAATACAGCAAGACACGGCTAGGTATCACTAACTTAAGATTTCCTAATAAAAAGATATAATACACGGTCCTTCTCCTAAAATTAAATAATTACAAAAATTAATTCTTAATCTAATAATCATGCATTAAATAAATTAACAAATTATTATTAATAATTTAAATTAAATTAAAATGTTACCGTATCAACAAAGTGTCGAGATATATGATTTGCATCCAAGCGAAGTAGACCGTCTGCCATTTTATATCTGTAAAAAAAATTAAATAAGTAAAATATTAAATAAATTAAATACAAAATATTAAAGGTATAATAAAATATACCTTAGAAGAAATTATAAGAGTATTTGAGAGAAGTTGAGAGAAATTGAGATAATTTGGTGTGATGAAAGTGATTGAGGATGAGAGTATTTATAGGGAGGATTGAGGTGTGAAGCGTAGGGGGTATGGGGGTAATTATGGGTATAGCGCGGGGCAGGGGGCGTGCCTTCCTGACGCGTGTCAGATTCACAGGTAAGGCGCGACCCCTGCCCCGCGCCTTATGTGTAATTACACACCTACCCCCGCTTTATACACGTGTATCCATGTCAGCATAAGGCGCGCTTCAGGGGGCGCACATTACCCCACGTGGCGCCAAATTAGCATATAGCGCGGTGCAGGGGCACGCTTTACTTCTAAGGGTGTTAGATCGGAAATATAGTCTGACCGGTGTTAGATCGGTAAATATACCGGTAACCGGTAATTTTTCGAGAAAAACGCCATATGTAACCCCAATACAAAAGATGATATATTTTTTATTAAGCTAAGTTGATTACAAAGTAATATTTATTTTAAATACTCTCAACTATTTGACGACACAATAAACATTTAATCACCCCACTATAGTCGCTGGTGTTCGAACCCGTGACCTCTAGAAACAACAACGATTCCTTCAACCACCTAGATAAGTTGATTCATGCAGAAGAATATATAATTTTAAAATTAACTATCTATTTTTAAAATGTTGAAGAAATAACAATCCCCAAATTTCGTATAATTTTAATATTATATAGTAATTATAAGATATTATCTATTAAACATATTTTTTAATTATTAACATAGTACACACTTGATTCACGTGATTGTTTAAATCTAAAACTTAAAAATAAAATAATATTCTCTTTCAACCATTAAAATTATTCAACAGATTCAAATTTATTATAACTAAGCATACCATAAATTTTGATATGAAATAATAATACGAGTGTGCACTCACTTTAATAATGAGTAGGAATCAATTCATCTTTCGAAAATATCACAAAAGTAGAATTTAGGTCGTGCCAATAGAGTCTTCAACAAGGTATTCATAATTTGGATGATTTTACCCCACTCAGAATTTTTTCTTCAAATTTTGAAAATGTATTTTTATTCAAACTTGAATGTAAATATAATGAATATTAATTTTTATTTATCTTTTTATCAAGTTAATATTACAAGTTAACTCGACACCAATTAAATTTTAATATATATATATATACATATATGTTAATTCTTGTAATTGTTCACTTCATCATTATATCTATTAATTTTATTCAATCTTTTTATTTGTTGTCTCGTCATTTTCCCATTTCTATTTAAATAAATTAATTAACAACAAAATTTATAATTTCTCAAACTCAAAAAATTTTATTTCAAAAATTTTATTTTTGTTTCGATGATAGGAAAAGATAAGATTGAGTTCGATCTGTTTATTGGAGCGATACTATTATCAGTTAATAGTTATTGTTGCATTTAGAGAGATAGACACTCAATGTTATCAAATAAAGAGAATGAGTTTGTCTTAAAAGAGACTTTTATACAAACCTCAACAAAGTTGATTTGTATTTTTTTTATATCTTCAGAGCTATCTTCGCAACTGTCATGTCCTCTGCTCAAATTCTTCGGAAACCTCTAAAAAAATCTTTCATACAAGTGAATTGCTACTCAAATTAACTTTTGTTTAAATGAACTTTCAACTTTATTAAAAGTCTATCACTCATATAAATTTCTATTTCAAATTAATATGTTACATATAATAATATTATTTGCCCTCATTTAAGTGATTACTGTATTGTTTCTAATAAAATTTATGGAACTAAGGGAGAGCTTAGCTAAGAAAGAGTAAAGTATAGATATGATGAAGATAAGAGATAAATGAGTAATTTTTTTTTTATTAATTTGAGTAAGTATAAACTTAAAGATAAACCTTAACTATCTGATATTAAACGCTTATACTCATAATATTTTTTGTGTTTAAACTCGAAACTTCAAAAAATAACAACTATTCTTTTATCATCAAGGTAGTTTGGTTCGTGCAGGAATAACTTAATTTATCTGCCCCAATTTCAATTACGTAAGCACCGGTATATAAAACCGGCTGTAACATTTCTAGTGAATTTTCTTTAATTAGACTTGTATAAGGTTAAACTTCTTTTATTTATCTAATATTCACAATCTAATTGATATTTTGTCGAGTCTTCTCTCTCAATATTATAATCATATTTAGTTTAAAAAAATAAAATAATTTGAAATATAAAAGTTTCTTTAATTTTTTTAAAAATATAAAATTGTTAAAATAGATCATATTCTTGTTTGGAAACTACTTTTTTAGAATTTTATTTTTATTTTAAAAATAAATTAAGAATAATTATATTTTTAAAAATATAATTATAAAAAATAATTTTAAAAGTTGTTTATAGAACTCTATGATATTCTTTTTTCAGTTTTATATATTTTTATATTTCTAATTTTTTACAATGTTTTATTATGCCACAATATTTATAAATTGGAAAACTTAAGAATAAATAAGATAGTAGAATAAAAACAGAAAGATTAAATGAACAAAAATAATAATATGAAAAAGAGTAGGATTTCATTAGATGTGAAAAACGGGTCATTCGGAACGGGTCCTTTCAGGTCAGGTAATTTCGAGTCTAGATTAAATTCAGTTTAATTTTATTTGGATCAAATCATATCTAGTTTAGATCTAGTTCGGGTGTACGATGAATCGAATCAGGTATCGGGTGATTATTGGATCAGTTGTTTTCCAGTTCTGATCAATATCGGATTGGTTGATTTTTGGATTGGGTCAATATTGAGTCGGACCAATGCCAGATCGATTGCTTTTTGGGTTGGTTAATATTGGATCTGTTAGATTTCGGGTAGAGTCAATATCGGATCGGTTAATTTTCGGTTTAGGTCAACCTTTAGATCAGGTCAATTTAGGTTGAATTGCTTATGAGTCTAATCAAAATCAAGTATATATAGAATAATTAATATATACTTGTAAAAATATGTATTATCATTTGTTAATTTTATCATTTATGTTTAACTTCATTCTCAATCGTTCAATATTTTGAATTAAACCACTATTTAGAGATAATAAAAAGATAATTTGACACGAATACGATCCTATTACGTATTAAAATTTGCTATCTAAATTTTATATTGATCTCGTATGAAAATTTATAATGAGAACTATTTGATAAAGAAATAATTTTTTATTAAATATTTTATTTCCAATTATAAATTTAATATTTTTATTAAATTTTAAAAAATAATGCATAACTTTATTTGTTAAGTTTTAGTCGTAATACAAGTAAATTTTATATTATTTTTTATTATAAATCTAATATTATTTCATTTGTTTTCGTTGTTTTCTATTATTTTTATTATAAATCTAATATTTTTATAACAAGTAAGATAAATAAACTTTATTTATTAATGTTTTCAATCTTACAATTAGATTCTTACTTTTATATTATTCTTAAACTTTATATTATTTTATTATAAATATAATATTTTTAATAAATTATCAGTTTTATTTAAGTTAATTTATTATTGAAAATAATTTTTATCGATTAATAATTTTTATCAATTTCAACATGTTCGTGTTGCTTTCGAGCATGGTTAAATTCGATACGAGTTAATTTCGATTTCGGTTCGGGTTAACTTCAGTTCTGATTTATTTCAGTTTCACTAAATTTTGAATTGGGTATGATTTGAGTTGGGTATGGGTCGAATATTAGATCAAATTTAATTATTATATTCAGGTTAATATCAAATATAAGATCAAATAAATCAATTAAGATAATCAAATTCAGATAAAATTTGTCAGGTCTAGATTTCATCGTAATATAGTGACAAAATATGAGTAATAATTAATTAATTGATTTTGATGTTTACTTTGAAGTTTCAAGTTCAACTAACCTTAGACCGAGACAGGAACACGACACGTGAGAGAGTTCAAACAAAAACGCCAAAAATTATTAAAACATAATTAATTAAATAGCATCCAAAAATGAAAATAAATAATAAACAATTAAAATAATTTAATCGTTAGACTTAGTTTCATTTACGGGCAGCCCGAACTCAGCGTTCTTTCTACTCGATGAATGGATGCGTAGGCTGCCCGATTCCGAACTGGGAAAAAAGACGGGCAGTTGCTCCCATCCCCAGTTCTCTCTCTTACTCTTCTTCCCTTTTGCCTCTGCTATATCTTTTCTTCCCTCTCCTTGATCAACATCCACAATGAAAGCTTATCCTTTCGTTTGTTTCCTTTGCTTTTAGTGCTGCAAATACTCAGATCTACTTTCGCTTCCCTGCTACGCTTATCCTTTTGCTCTCTTCCTTTGCTTTTAGCTCCGCAAATCCTCAGATCTACTCTCTCAGCCATCTTATTTCCGTATACCGGTACGTTTCTTTACCCGTGTCTTCTACTTCCGAATTTCAGAAAGTTTTCCAATCTCTTTAATCTTTAATTAATTTTAGTTTGGCTGCTTATTTTATCAAAAACAAAAAGCTTTTTTTACGAAAATCAACTTTCCGCCGGAGCGAGTCTGGCTCGTAATTGAAGGTTCTTCGTTCTGTTTTGTTCGAATTTGTTGGGTTTCTTTTTCTTCTAAAGAAAACTTCATTTTCGTATAATTTCCGCTATTTTTTGTTTTTGATTCTTTTCCGCCGTGATAGAAATATTTATTTATTTTAAAAGATCATAATATTTTGAAATTTTGTTATGTTTTTTGCTACGCCGTACTACATCTGTATGAATAAAGTGATAGATCCAACGGCTGATATAGCTTCAGCTTAGGTCTAAAGGTGGAGATTCTTTTTCTGTGCAGGTTGCTTTTAGATTTATCGTTGGCCGTAGTGAAACAGAAGCTGACCTCAGTTCAATGGAGGTTACGGTTAGTCACGTCGCACTAACATGCGCCGGAGAAACTCTAGCTAACATGCTCTTTTCGGCTCTTGCCAAAACCCAGCTTTTAGCTCTGGTAACCTAGCTTTGCTTTTATTTATTAGTTTATTTTTGCTTTTATTTATTAGTTTATTTTTTCGCCTTCCATGATCTCCTATAATTTTATGCTTTTTTTTCTACGGGTTGCCTTTTTTTTCTTAGTATCACAGCTAAAATGAGCTGTTGTAGGGTTTTCACGTTTAGGACCCCCTTTTCTCTTCACTAAAAATATATTTTATGTTTTAAAAATCTGTCGATATATTTTTAAGAAAATATCAAATATATATATTTCTAAAAACATATTTTCCGTGCTTTTTCTTGCTAAAAGCATCTGATTCCACCGCCGCCACCATCACAAAAACAAAAAATTTGCTTTATCTTTTGTTGTTTCGCATTAGATTCCTGCTAAGATGCGCCTTTGTTGTTGGGGACCGAGATTTGTTTACGTCAGAGGATTTTGAGATCTCATTTTAATACGATATAATTATAACCCTATTTTTTTAATAAAATAAAAATAATGAATTATTATCTTTTAAAAAAACATAATTTAATTATTTATCTTTAAAAAAACATATTTTAATTATTTTTCCTTACACGGATCTGTTTATTTATATACGAAATTAAATTTTGATCTTTTATTTTGCTAACTTACGCTTTTGGATGGGGCATGTAGGGAACATTACCCATATTTGTTGGGGTAATTTAAGTTTTGTCGCATGTGAAATGAAATTATTTCGGTTCTCTTTTTTAGAAAATACTTTTTTTTTTCATTTTGATTCATAATACGTTAAATGCTCTGTTTCATTAAAATTTATAAAATATATTTAAAAAAATTTCAATCAAAGTTTTTGAATTTTTTTATAAATAATTAAAGTAAAACAATGAAAACGTTAACTTCAAAATAAAATATCTGTCGCTACAGTCCTTGTCTTTTGTCTTGTTTTCTAAAACACGAACAGTCAAATTTCTTTGTCGTGGAACCGTATATTCCTCGGATACTATCCTTGTCGATTTATAGGTGCCACGTCACACTTTTTATTTAATATATATTTTCATTACATTTGATTATTCATTATTGAGCCCAGAACGTGGGCTGGGAGATAAGCCTCTATCCACTATGCCCCTGCAAGGACTTGTTCAATATCTCTGAACTTTATATATTTGTTTTTCATTTGATATATTAATTATATATATTGTATGAAAAATATCTCAACAACTTTAAAGTTAAAAAAATTAATTTACGTTCTTTCCCGTTAAGGAGCGAGTTACTAATTTAGTCTGGTAGTCGGTAGATCGCTTTATTTGGGCTAAGGTTAAAATAGTGATTTAAATTTTGAATAAAATATAGGGTATATTACATAATTAACAACTGAATTTTCTTCTCACTCTTATTTTGGTCAATGTACTTTAAAAAATTTCAATTTAATATCTAAGTTTTCATTATAACGTTTAGTTATTAAATTGAGAATTTTTAAAATACAATGACCAAAATAGGAGTGAGAAGAAATTCCTACTTTAATTTTATAATTTACCCTAAAATTTATAATCAAATGTATATATTTTTTCAATTAATAAACCTCTAGCATGTAAAAAGAGCAGAGTATGCACTTATAAATCAAAGCAAAGGTTTTCGTTAATCTTCAAGTGTTAATTATTTTGTATCTAAGAACATTGGCTATGCTTTTATGTACTATTTGTTTTATTGGTTAACATGTTTTTCATAGTTTTAATTGCTAGCGTAGCTTCTGCTTAAACCATGCTGTGAATACAAATTATTTGTTTTGGATTGGTTTCAGAGCTCCTTCACTTTGATGTTGGCTAATAAACCCGGAATTGAGAGCGACCAGTCGCAAAACCCGCCTAAGCCGAAGGACGCTGATGGGGAAGATGATGATAATAACAATGACAACGAAAATGGGGGCGACGAGTTCGGAGATGGTGAAGAGGAGCTGTCCTCGGAAGACGGGGAATACGGAAACAACGGTAACAGCAACAAGAACAACCCAAAGAAGGGACCGGGAGGTGGCGCAGGCGGGGCGGAACAGAATGGAGAAGATGGAGACAACGACGACAAAGAAGATGGTGAAGACCCAGAGGATGAAGACGATGACGACGATGACGACGACGACGATGATGGAGGTGAAGAGGATGAAGAGGATGTCGGAGTGGAAGATGAAGACAAGGAAGAGGGGGAGGAAGATGAAGACGAGGAAGCTCTTCAGCCACCTAAGAAGAGGAAGAAGTAAATTGTTGTAGATCAGTTGAAGCCTCCATTTTAGGTAAACTTGATCATCTAACATTATGGTCTTTTTATTTGGCATGAAGGAGGTCGTTTAGGGTTAATGTTTTTAAGTATATGTATCACTTTCATTTCCTTTGCATAATTAGAGCACCGTCGGAATTATTTGAGGAGCTGCAGAAGATTCAGTTGAAAACAATTTGTATGATTTCAGCCGTTACTTTTCATAAAAGGTAATATAGATATGATAGTTTCGCTAACACGATTTTACAAATATCATCGTTATAGTATATAATATAATTTATATTGAGGTTAAGATAACTATTTCTTGTGTTATTTCAACTGAATTCGAGTAGTTGTATTTATAAGATGTATACGTTATCGATAATTAAAAAAATTATAGATAAATACTATTTTGTAATCATCACGTACTATTAAAAAAATGTTTACGGTAAAATTTCCGAGGGAAATTAGACTTAAACACCGCTTAAAAAAACTCTATAAAGTTCAAAAGATATTCAAATCAAACATTGAATGATAATTACTTGGACTTTTTCAAAAATTCAGGCTCGACTGAACAGTGATTCATCGGAATTTCTGACCGTAGAAACCTGACACGGCGATCTGATTCGTAGGATTTCTTGCCTGTTGATACCATTGGAGTTGAACCTTTTTAAAAAAAAAAATCCTTTCATGTCTTTATTATCGAACACAAAAGCAGAAGAAACCGGTAAATCGGCATGGTTGCTGAGATGAGATTTATGATCAACTCCAATGGCAGATTAAAGAAGAGATTCATGGCGGACTCTCCATCAGCATCATCGACGTCGTGGTCGGGTATAAAGTTTGACGAAGCCCAAGATCCGTATTCGATTTTTTCCAGGGAGACTGTAATCTTGATATCAAATTGTTCTCAATATCAATTGTTTCTCTCATTCTTCGCCTCACTGGGTTCGCTTTACCGAAGCCCGGTAGGAAAAAAGCAAAGGGTCCCACATTTGAAGTCGCTGCTCTTCCGGAAACCATAGCCTTTAACATCGGGATTGGAGATTAAACCGATACGATCATGGTGCCAAAGATCACCAACCGACTTGTGATAAGGGAAAGATAGTGCATATTTAGTACGATTATTGATCAACAGCAAGCTTTTGAAAGAAAGAAAGAAAAAAGATTGTGCATATTTTGTCCTTGTATTTGCTCTTTGGTATCTTATCGGTCTATAAATTTCTTTTTTGACACATCTGGTCACTTTTGTTGTGTTGTTATGTTTTGTTGGTTATTACCGTGCAAGGAATATTCATACTTGATATTGGCTCAATTAAAACAAGGATAATAACCGTTGTAATCGATAAAGTTGGTAAGTTATATATTTCTATTGTTTAGGACATGTATTGACATTATTGGTATGATATTAAGTATATGATGTGCTAGATGTATGCTGGACAAAATCAAACCTATAAATATGGTTACTGATTAAATAGGTTATTTGTTAATGTTGTTCGTAGTTATTATATTGATTTCGGGATATAATTGATATGTCAAGTTCACAACGCTTTGGTATGTCAAAAGTTTACAACGTTTGCATGAATATTATCAGTCTTCGGTCTTGTTAGTGACGAAGGGATGAGAATTAGGTCGGATTTATGTCTAGACAGTGATGAAGGAATTGACCACTATTGTCGTGATATTTGCGCTATTGACAGTAATGTAGGAATTCGTGGATCCATTCTTCGAAACAGTATCATCATGCTTAAACATGATATTATTAATATACTTATGATCATGCTTAATGATATTATTATTGTTACTGTTGCTAAAGATGCTATTATCATGACTAATTGTCATATGAATAGAAATGTCATCTAATAAATTTATATGTTTATGACTATCTCACTATGTTATATAAATTTACTTTGTTTATTTATTAATTTTGGATCATCGTTCATATTAGTAGATTGAAATTATATCTAGAAATTATAAGTCATCATCGATTTTGTCAGTGTTAAGATCCTTGCTTAAAACTCCTAGAATGATGGTTTCGTAAACCTAATGAAATTTTGATGTATTTTGTGATATGTGTGCTTGATATGTTATTTGGTATCAAACTTGATGTTATGATGCATGTAGTGTATTTGACAATGTGGTATAGTATGATGTTATTGTTAGTTGCAGAGGTGTTCAAAACGACCCGATCCGGTTGACCCGACCCGTTGACTCGTCTATCCAAATTAAAAAATTTAGGTATTCTTTAAAAAAATACCCGATCGGGTCAGATACCCTGCCCGACATTTCCCGGGTCGGGCCCAAGTCACAAAATTTAATTTTTTCGGGTACCCAGTTACCCGAGTACCATGTTATATTTTTAGGGTAAACTATACCAGTAACCGCCCAACTATAATCCCTTTTTATTTTGACCACTATTTTTAAATTCTTGTCAATCAAGCCACCCAAGTATTTAAATGCATTCAATCAGGTGATTGGCCGTTAACAGTTAACGGAAGTAATAATGTGGCAGTTAAAAAACTTGGTATAATTACACATTTTGTTACTGTTATTTATATATTCTATCAATTTAGTCCTAATTTTAATAAATTCAAATAAATTTGACATTCAAATTAGATTGTGCCACGTGTCACTAATGTCATGTGTTAAGACACATCTCGTCACTTTATTTGAGGATTTAAATTATTTTAATTTAATAGATTTATTTCCCACCAATCAGAGGGTGACACGTATCACACTCTGGTGAAAAGAAAATTTAAGGCGTTAAATTTGAGTGTGGGATTCAAATTTAGGGACTATGGGAGTTAAAGAACCCACTCAACCACTAGGCCAAGCAAACTTTTATGCTTGAAATAGACTTCATATGGTATATATGTCATATACTAGTCTAAACTTAAATTCTTAGTATTTTATACTACATCTTAACTTAAATTCACATATTAAATTAAATTAACATCTTAACATTAAAAATATATATTTTAATTTATCTTAATTTAAATTTATCTTAAATAAAATATATTTTACTTTTATCTTAATTTTAATTTAACTTAAAAATATAATGTATTCTTACTTTTAACTTAAATATTTATAGTTCATTCTTATAATATTTTAAAATTAAGATAAAAATAAATCTATTTTAAACATTTTTAAACATATGTAGTCTATTTTAATATAATTTATTTTAAATTAAGATAAATATATTCTATTTTAAATTAAATCCTCCAATCGGGTGATGACACGTGTTTTAACATATGGCACGATTTGATTTGAATGTTAAATTTATTTGAATTTATTAAAATTAGGAAAAATTGATAGAATATATAAGTAACAATGACTAAATGTGTAATTATATAAAGTTTTTTAACTGTCACATCATTACTTCCGTTAACTGTTAACAACTAGTGATTTGATTGATAAAAATTCAAAAATGGCAGTCAAAATAAAATGAGCTTATAATTGGGTGATTACTGGTATAGTTCACCCTTTTTATATAATAATAATATTAGTATATTTAATTAATTAAACTAATAAAGTAAAAAAAAAAAAAAAACGTTGATCTTGAATCCCAAAATTGAAAGCCCTAAAAAAAATTTCCTCACGAAAGCTCCACCGCTCCAGTCTCCAGGCTCCAATAGTCTCGACAACAGTCGCCAGCTTATCGCTACGGTCGCCGATCTCTCATATAAGGGGGCAAGCACCCAAACTCTGCTGCTCTCTTCAGATATCAAAGCTTTAGTTCTGAAAAAGCGAAACCCAGAAGCCTTTGCTGAAAAGAAGATCTGGATATGCCTTATTTCTTGTTTTTTTTTTTCCTTTGCTGCATTTTCAGTTTCTAGTTGTAGTTGGGATTAAGGGAGATCTTGGGAGCTTTTGGAGTTGTTCTTGCACTTGGTTTTCTGAATGTGTGTGGTTAATTAAGGTTTTCGAGCTTGGTTTTTAGTTGTTGTTAAGTGAATAGTGAGAACAAGCGAGTTTGTGAAGTTGATTTTTTTAAAGCTGATTGTTCGGTTTTAGTGAATCAAATCAACATATTTTTTCAATGCGGAATTCTTGTTGATTTAGCAACAATGGGTATCGGTTACCCGAATTACGAGTACTCGTAAAATCCGAATACCCATAACAACCGGGTCAAGACATGGGTCAATACACGGGTCAATCAATTTACTATTCGAAGACCCGAGTACCCAATACTTTGGATATCCGACAATCCAGATATCCGTATTTAAACACCCTTACTTAGATGCAAATGGTATGTTAACGCGGTAAGAATTATCACACGGACAAAACTACAGAGAGTGGGAGGGCTCTTGCCCTCTTAAGATTTTTGATTTAATAGCATTTCAAGTCTATATTGATTTAAATTTAAGTAAAATTAAAATTTTCTCTCTTTAACTTTTAGATTAAATACATATAAGGCAAGTTTCGACTATATTTTGGTTTAAAGCGAAATTAAAAAAATGAGCCCCTAATTAAAAAAAATAAAGAAATATGTAATATAATTTTTTATTAAATTAAATAAATAGTAATTTATTACAAGATAAAAAAATGTCAAAAAATTATTTAAGCATATAAATATTTATAAAAAAACATTGCCTTCGAGAATTTATTGATACAAAATCATTTATGATAGTGTCAATATCAATGTTTTCCAACATATTTTTCTCAATATATAATATATTATTTTGAAATAAAAGAACGATTTTATCTAGAATTAGAAAATATATAGAAATCAAAAGAAAGAATTTGAAAACATGATCTTACCTAGAATTTTAAGAATAATCTACAATATGATTCAAGCATCACAATCGACGATAAACAATTGGGATTTTATGTTTGTGAGCAATATAGAAATTAAAAAGTGAGAGTAATAATTTTTAGAGAAATTGTGAATATGAAAGAAAAAAGAAACATGCTAATTATACTTCACTTTTTTCCTCTCTTTGAGTTTTAAAGAAAACAAATAGCATTAATAAAATTTTTCATTGATATAGAAAATCAATAAAGAGATTTGATGAATTGATGCTGAGAATTAGAAAAAAGATCAAAATTAAAAAGATTCAATTTTTTTTGAATTTTGAAGAAAAATATTGAATTAGATTTTATGGAAAATTAAACAATTTATTAACGTTAATATAAAAGTTTAATATTTACAATTGACACTTTAATAAATCATGTGTCCCATTATTTTATTTTATAATTTCTTTTAAATTTATTATCTTTAATAAACTCATAGTCTCTTTTATTTCATTTTAC